TGTGTGTGTGTGTGTGTGTGTGTGTGTGTGTGTGTGTGTGTGTGTAACCAGTTTGCCCCGCTGGTTGATAATGGAAACTGCGCTGATCCTGCTGCTGTTTAGTAGACCAATTCCTTTCTAAATGATTAAGTAAATAACTGTTTGTGGTCGTGTACAATGCTGTTGTATATTTACCTCTGTATGTATTTTTAATTTAACATATTTGTTTGAATTCACATTTATTAAATCCATCTTTTGATGTAAAAACTGCATTTAAAATTATGGAAATGCTATATTTCTCCGCAGGAGTGTGTGTGTGTGTGTGTGTCTGTGTGTGTGTGTGTGTGTGGGGGGGGGTCACGGGGGATCTCGCACAGGGCGCCATTTAGGCCAGCTCCGCCTCTGGTTAACGGTAGCACATTTTCCTCTTTTTGTTGGAAGCACATGGTAATAATAATAATAGGTAGAAAACCGGCTACTGGTGGGAGATATATCTACTCACAGGTGGATGATAAACGTCCTCACCTAAAGCTCCAGCTGTAAATATGTAGGCTCACGGTTTCATGTTTTTGTGGCTTCTGTTGAGTTTTATAATCTGAAGCAGATATTCGCCCGTAATGAGTGTAATGTAGCCTGGTAGGAGTTACGGCAGCCATGAGATGGCTGGTGTTAAATGGTGCTTACCGGAAGGCGCTGTGAGGAATGGGATCTGGTGCACATGCTTGGGTGGTGATGTGAATGATAATAAAATCATATAGCTGAAATATTCCTCCTGCATTCTTCATAACGGGGAGGGAAAGGGCGACAAATGTATGCATCAGTTGAACATTGCAACATTAAACAGTGTCCAAGTTTGAAGTTTCCGCCTCTTTCACAAAAACTTCATTTATTTCATTTTAAAACACCCTTTTCTCACTTTCTCGCTGTTTCCTTTGCTGAGTCTCAACTCTTGTGGGATTCACGCAGAGAAATCAATTTTGCCTGGCCTCTTTGCCTTTGGAAGGGAACACAGGCATATATAAATATTCACATGCGGCTATTTCAGATACTCGGCTTAGGGAACGGATGAGCTGTTCTCCTGTTTCATCACAGAGACTCCATACATGCGTCTCTGGATAATTTCTCACTTTCCCTGTGCATTTTTCTTTCTGTAAACTCTCACTTTTATCTCACTGACTTTAACAGAGTCTTTCATGTCTTTTGATATGTTTTTTCTCCTGTCACCTTCTCTTTATGTCTTTTTCTTTATGCTCTTCTTTTATGTATTTATTCTTTCCCCTTCAATCACATATCATTAGTAGCTCGCTTCCTCCCCTCTCCACTTTGTTGTTCTTTTCCTCTTTACTCAGTTTTCTTTTTCATCCTTAAATCAAATACCAAATTCATCTGCTTTTTTCCTCCTGTTTTCTAACCTTTCTTTTTCCACTTTTTACCTAAACTCTGTTTTCTCTGTTTCTCTTTTTTTTTTCATTTTTGCTGCAGCTTTATTTTTTTCTTTTAATGTTTTTATTTACATAAATAGGTTTAAAATTTTAATTTAGGTTTTCCTTTGAAGGCTTGGGGTGCAGTTGGTAGCACCATTGCCAGGCTTGAAGGTTGATGGTTTAAATCCTGTCTGTGCAGAGTTTGCACATCCTCAACATGCATTTGTGGCTTTCTCCGCTTGCTGCAGCTGCAACAGTAAACATGTGCTGGTCATAAAATTAGAATATCGTGACAAAGTTGATTTATTTCAGGAATTCTCTTTAAAAAGTGAAACATGTATATTGGATTCATTCATTACACACAGATTAATATACTTAAAATGTATATGTCAAGGATTTTTATCAACAACCCAGTGCCTGCAACCAGAGAAAAATTAACCAATGACAGACAAGTATCCAGATTGCAATGAGGAGGCAGAAGCTACAAGTCTACTGCCCTTAGCTCCTGAATTCTCAGTTTATTTATAACATGAGATAAGAAAATGTGTGTGTGTGGGGGGGGGGGGGGGGGGGGGGGATGCGAGTGTGAGTGTGTGTGTGTCTGAATAAATGAGCATGCATTTAGGCATAGAGAAATACATATTACAGTCAAGTTATTGAATCAATGATCAAGAAGTAATAATCATAACATTTCCGTAACAGTATATTTCTCAAGTTTTGCTGATTATAACTGACAACTACTGAACATCCCAAATTCCCTATTTCAGAATATTGTGAAAACATTCAAAAATGAAGACCCCTGGTGCCACACGCTAATCAGCTATTTAACTCAAAACACTTGCAAAGCCTTTAAATGGTTTATCAGTCTAGTTCTGTAGACTACACAATCATGGAGAAGACTGCTGATTTGACAGTTGTCCAGAAGAGGACCACTGACACCTTGCACAAGGAGGGCAAGACACAACAGGTCATTGCTAATGAGTCTGGCTGTTCACAGAGCTCTGTGTCAAAGCACATTAATAGAAAGGAAAAGGGAAGGACAAGATATGGTAGAAAAAAAGTGCACAAGCAGTAGGGATAACCACACTCTGGAGAGGATTGTGAAACAAAACCCATTAAAAATATGGAGATTCACAAAGAGTGGACTGCAGCTAGAGTCAGTGCTTCAAGATCCACCATACACAGATGTATGCAAGACATGGGTTTCAGCTGTCAAGCCCCTCTCGAACAAGAGACAGCTTCAGAAGTGTCTCGCCTTGGCTGAGGACAAAAGGACTGGCCTGCTGCTGAGAGGTCCAAAGTTATGTTCTGTGATCAAAGGACATTTTACATTTTCTTTGTAAATCAAGGACCCAGAGTCTGGAGGAAGAGAAAAGAGGGGCAAAATCCATGTTACTTGAGATCCAGCGTAAAGTTTCCACAGTCAGTGATGGTTTGGAGTGCCATGTCATCTGCTGGTGTTGATGCATTGTGTTCTCTGGGGTCCAAGGTCAACGCAGCCGTCCACCAGGAAGTTTTAGAGCACTTCATGCTTGCTGCTGCTGACCAACTTTATGGAGATGCAGATTTTCATTTTCCAACAGGACTTGACCCACACAGTGCTGGACCTGGTTTAAGGACCACGGTATCCCTGTTCTTGATTGGCCAGCAACCTCACCTGACCTGAACCCCATAGAACATCTAAGTGGTATTAAGAAGCGGAAGATGCAATACGCTAGACCCAACAATTCATTAGAGCTGAAGGCCACTATCAGAGCAACATGGGCTTTCATAACACCTGAGCAGTGCCACAGACTGATGGACTCCGTGCCACGCCGCGTTGCTGCAGTAATCCAGACCAAAGGAGCCCCAACTAAATAATGAGTGTTGTACGTGCTCATAGTTTTCATGCTCATACTTTTCAGTTGACCAATATTTCTAAAAACCCTTTTCTTGCATTGGTCTTAATTGATGTTCTAATATTCTGAGATGCTGAATTTGGGATTTTCATTAGTTGTCAGTTATAATCATCAACATTAAAAGAAATAAGTCTGTGTGTAATAACTGAATCTAATATAAAAGTTCACTATTTCAGTGAAATTCCTGAAACAAAATCAACTTTGTCATGATATTCTAATTTTATGACCAGCACCTGTACATGTTGGATGAAATGGCTGTTAAGCTCTCACACACCTTTCCATCAGCTCACCGTCCAATAATCACTCTCTAAATATTTGAACTTCTTAGTTTATTCCCTTTTGTCAGGTTCTACTCAGTTCCTTTGTTTCTCTTCTATATCCCTTCTGCCCTGTTTTTCTGGAAATCTTGATGTTTTAACCTTTTTGGCCACTTTCCTTCTTCTCAGCCTTATTGTGTACACGTATAACAAATACAGGACAGGGACTCAAATCACACAGGGAGAGCACTGTTGAGCTATGGCAGACATAATCTGCAACAGCCACATCAGTATTCAGATGTGAACAGGATCATGTTGACGTTCACTTTCTAAAATAATATATTAAAAACAGAATTTTGCATTTTTACTGCTCAGGGAATTCACAGCAAACATTTAGCTTTATCAGCGCAAACCCCGGCCTCCACTTCAGAGATGCACTAAAGTCACTGCAGAGAATTGTTGTTTAATGTTGGCTCTGAACAGATACATGCAATTTGAATCAAAACACTTGATGTACAAACATTGCTCCATGACAGATTTATTTTGAATCCCTCCCTTTGCCCGTGAGACTCGTGTCTCAGAGTCCGTTGCATATTTTATGAATCTCCCTGAACTCACTGACAGCAAAGCTCTGAGCACCATTTTGAACAGAGATCTTCACTGTGTGTGATGCCTGTATGCTGGATGAACTCTTGTGAACTGCACACCCAGGCCTGATTTGGGACGTGCACCCATCAGGATACAACCAGGGAAGGATGCTGTTACTGCGGCCTCTCTCCCGTGTTCTGTCTTCTCCCCTCCGGCTGCTGCTGCTGGTCTGTTTGGCGCTGATAACTCCATCATGGATTTCTTTTCCAGATATCTCCACTGGTCCGCCTTTAAAATCCTTACTCATTCTCTTTCTCTCCCCGTTGTCAGCTTTGTTTTACAAACAGAGCGGTGATACCTTCTCAGAGCACCACCTCTCCACACACACACACAGTGGGCGTACACAAGCACACACATGAATACAAACCTTGTGAAAACAATCACAGCAGACAACGCACACAGAAGCGCTCTGGGTGACCTCACCTTGACCTTACACCATACACTTTCCCCCGTCCTCGTGGCTGAGACACCTCGACAGGTGTGTGTGTGTGTGTGTGTTGACAGACACTTTGATGCATATTTTATACAAGGTTGCTGAGTGTGCGACTAAAACTAGGACATGACGGGGGCAAAATACATCCTGGTTAAATGTGGGTGTGTTCCTCTCCCTGCAGCAGATAAATGGATGTATTGAATTACCCTCCTTTTTTCCATCCATCTGTTACTTTTTGACCATTTTTTCCCCTTTTCACTGTGTCTCACTCGGGGCTCATTTGGAGGTATGTCTATTAACCACACACAGACAGATGTGCAAGCTTCCATTAACAAAAGGGAGGCAAACAAACAAGCAGCCGTTGAGGACACAATCTGTTTAATGTTATTTATAAACAGCTTTTCAGTCTGGAAATGTCCGATAACCACATAGAAAACGTTTGGGCTGCACAACAAAAGAGAGGAGAGGGGGAAAAGATGCAGAACTGTGCAGGGAAGGAGAAGAAGTGGACAGATGAGGGAAGGAGGAAGATGGAGGGAGGGCAGTGCAAGGTGCTGATTATCTTGAATAAGTCAGCAAAAAAAAAAAGAAAAAGAAACAGGCAATAAACAAAAACAAATACAGGAATATTAAAAAATATGGAAGTTCCAGCTTCGAGCTCTGAGTTCATTTTTCATGGGAACCACTGAAACAAAACCGAGCCAGCTTCCCCAGGTTTTCTTGTTCTTCCTCCCCTTTTTACCTGTTTTTTTTTTCTTACAAAAGTCATTCTCACAGGAACAAACAGACACAATTTACATCACCTCTTGGTTTTACAGCAGCACAAACAAGTTCACCGGTTAGGATCTCTAACCCTACTTGTCGGGACAACAACACCAGTGACGGGCTTCTGAATGTTGCTGATATTTTAGAGAGATAGACACGGGGAAAAGAAAGGCGGGACCCAGCAGGAAACACACACCATCAGGTTACAGGGTCCCTGCTGTACAATTCCAGCTCATTTTTAGGTAGTCCGCAAACCAGACGCAACGTTTTTGTGCTTTTTTTCCTCAGCCTGTTGTGATTGTTGGCATTTTAGCATAAGTCGCTGTGTTAAACCCACATTTTATGACTGTATGAAGAATATAAACCATAATCCTGATGAGTTCAGGTGTCCAGATTACCTGTTTGCATTTGTACAAGATTCACTTATTGGAAATTAAGACTTTGGGTAAATTGTGCTGAAAGGAAATGAAAAAGACATCTAAAGACAAAGTTGAGAGAGTGTCTGTGCTTCTTGGCTCTGGGATTAGAAGACCCTGGATTAAGTGGGATTAGGAGTTTGAAGAAGGCTGTGATGAGCATGCTCCAACTGCTCCAGTTAAAGAGAGGCGCCGCGACCCCTCAGTCCTCTCTGTCCATATGATTCATGAGGATGCCCCCCCACCCCCCACGAGCCATTCTCTCTTTAAACCTAGCAGCAATATAATCCAACTCCCCAATCAGGCTCAACAATTCGTCTCTTGTGGATCAGAAAATACACAAAAAAAGAGGAAGAGAGAGGCTTTTAGTGGTTTTTCAGCTTGTTTTGCCTCTTCTGAGTCACTTCCCAGTTCATGAAACCTTTGTTTCGGATTGAGTTTGAATGGTACATAGCCTCTGCAGGATTACAGAGGAAAGTGCATATCTGTTAGAGTGAATCTGAAGTTTCGTGAGTCGGGCCGGAGCCTGCAGAAACAAAGTCGACATTTCCCAAGCAGGTTGAGAAGTGAATGAAAAATTCTCCTGCCTAAATGAGCTTTTATTGGAAAATGGCTCCCATTAGGCACTCTTGCTGTCTTGCTTCAACCCACCCACATGGCTTTAGTGTTTCTATTTCACTTTTATTTTTTAGTTACACCCACATTTGTACAAACAGATTCACAGAAATCTTCACTCACTCATGTCCGCTCAATGCGACCGGTTGGCTTTTACAGCGATCGGCTGGTTCTGAATGGCTTTTTGGTTGGGATGCAAAGGCGAGGATAAATGGTAGTGTTCAACAGAACTGGTTTAAAGAACTGGCAGTTACATTGTTGTGTCACAATTTCAGTGGCATTCTTTTAGGACGCCAAGGATACAGCCTTGCATTAAAACCACAGTGGAACGTGGGAGTAAAGCCAATTTTTCAGCAGATTGATAGTGATTACAGCTATTATCGCTAAAACTCTTCACGATGACATATTTCACTGCCGCTTTGTGTCTGCAGTACTTTGTTTCAAGATCTTAAGGTGCTATTGAGCGAACAGACCGACAGCTATAGACAGCTGTCTCAGTGTGAGTGACGGATCGGGGCTGTGCTTGCAGAGTGTTACTGAATCAAGAGGGTTAACTCTCGCTGTTTTTTTATGAAATATTAACTCATTATTTCATGAGGCTGTGCAGTTTTATGAGTGCATAAACTCAGTGAGGCGACTGACGCCGAAGAGGCAAAAAAAAAGGTTCCCTGTTGTTTTTCTCACTGACATCATGAAAACAATGGGATTCGTTTTCTCCCTGACGTCAGCCTGTCGCGTGGATCCCTGTAAAAGTTCTGAGTAGACAGTCGTTTCCCCGCTCGGTTATCCATTTGTGCCTCCTTAAAATGCCGGGACAGGGTGTTTCAGGAGAATGAACAGTAAAGTTGCACCACGAGCACAAACAAGTCCATCTTCTGTGTCAGCGCAGGATCACAAAATATACAGACAGAAGCAGAGCTGATGAGAAACATGAAATGAAACCTGCTGAGTGGGACCCTGCTTTGTTATTAGCCCTCTGGACCCCGCTTGGTGGACCAACAGAAGTTCTGGGAATGCACTTGTTTCTCCTCCTTGAAGTCGCAGACATTCCATATTTGCCACCATCTGGAGAATAGTCTTTGTCACTCCCTTCCAGGAGAACCTGCACCTCATTGAGCCCCCCTTTTGCCTTGCGACCCCGACGGGTGCAGTTTTTGCGGCTTCCCTTGGGTGGCCGTGGCAGGGGTGAGGGTGAGGGTAAACTGTATTGGTCTCCGTGTGGGAGATATGGCCTCTGATGATGGTTGTGGTGGTTCCTGTGGCGATTTAGGTGGTTTAAAGACTCCCCGTGTTCCATCTCTCCACCTGAGGTGCCATGTCCGTGACCCTTGCTGGACAAGCAACTGGGTAGCTCCTCCTTCTTCAGCGTTTTCATGTCCCTGCCTGACAGCTCTGGTGGTGAAACACAGACTAGAGAGGAAGTGGAGCCTCTGAACCTCCGTAGCCAGTCCCAAAGCGAAAGGGCCTTGCAGTCGCACTCCCAGGGGTTGCTGTTGAGACGCAGGTATTCCAGGGCCGGCAGCAGACTCAGGGTGGACCCAGACAGCTCAGTGAGGGAGTTATTAAACAGGTAGAGGGTGGTGAGACGTGTCAGGTCATGGAAAGCCTGGCGATCAACCCACTGGATTACGTTCTGATGGAGAAGGAGTCGATCCAAGACCCCCAGGCCTCGGAAAGTGTTCTGGCGAAGGCTCCACAGTCGGTTTCCATGCAGGAAGAGATGACTGAGGTTCACCAGGTCAATGAACAGGTCATCTTCTAGAAACTCTAACTGGTTGTCCTAAAAAAAAAAAAAGAAAGAAAAAAAATTCAAACAAATTGCAGCACATTTATCATTTTCTTTATGGTTCTGACAAAACTTTTAAACTTCTGCTGCTTTGTATATTTAAAGGTGATGAACAATCATTTGCTGTGGTCTCTAGTAGGAATGAAAGCCTTGTAAATCGTATTCGGGGGGGGGGGGGGGGGGGGGCTGCTCAGATGCACCTTAATCAGTAAGAACAAGTCAGGAGAAAGTAGCTTCAGACGACAAGTTTTGGACTCCTATTTCCTGATAATTGGACATATCACCCCAGATTAGACAACAGCAACACGACTCTGTCACTGACTTGCAACTTTGATGTTTTATCTCCACAAATAACACAAGCCTGGAGGAGTTCTGCCATGTGGTGGAGTTGCTAATGCTAACCAAGGCTAATGCTGGTCATTGATATTTAGATATTTCCACGACAACTTGACACAATGTGCCACATGGATCCACCATTGCCTGGCATGATACATGCACTACACTGTAAATTCCAGGAAAGATGGACTTTGCTAGTCAATTGGATTATCTGTAATCTCTCAGAGGGGTAGAATATATGCTGAGCTGAGTTAGAGGTCACAAAAAGATTTGTGGAATCTTTTTATGCGTATTTCTGTTTCAGGATTTGTTTAACGTTGGGGCAGGGATGGAAATATCACATAAATTGATGCAGAGATTCATAAATTCTGATGAAGACCAGGAAGAGGGAGCACATCACTCCGGTTTTAGAATCACTGCACTGGCTCCCCGTATGTTTCAGGATCGATTTTAAGGTTCTTTTAATGGTTTTTAAGTGTCTTAATGGTCTCGAGCCTTCGTATCTTTCAGAACTGCTTTAACTATATAAACCCTCGTGGTCTCTGCGCTCCTCTAGCAGCCGTCTCCTAGTTATCCCTAAAGTGAAGACACACACCCACGGTGAGGCGTCCTTTATGTATTGCCGCCCTCGCCTTTGGAACGGGCTGCCGGAGGACCTCAGGGCCGAAGGGAATGTCCAGGCTTTTAAGAATAGGCTCAAGGCCCTCCTTTTTAGCTTAGCTTTTAACAGATTACTATTTATCTAGTCTGTTTACCTGTATCGCTTGTCGTATTTGTTTATATATAATGTGTGCAAGTGTGTGGGTGAGTGTATGTTCAACTTGGAAATTGGTTGCGGGAGGGGAAGTGTGATTGTCAATTGTTTTATACTTGGGAAGGGGGGCTGGGTTGGGAAAATGGGATCAACGGAGCCATTTTAATGTGTGAAGAACTTTGAGTTGCATTTTTTTTTGTAAGAAAAGTGCTATCCAAATAAAGTTGATTTGATTTGATTTGATAAATCTACTACTGCTCATTGGGATTAGTTTGATACTACTGGTGCAAAAATGCCACAAGTTGTTATTATTTTTGCCATTGTGCTACCCGATGTCATTGTATCACGGTCTTGTTCTTGTTTGTTATCATGCTTTGCACCTCTGGGCCTATGTAAGGTAGTACTTTCTCTTTTTTATATACTTTTAATTGCATTGTGTCAAATTCATTGCCAATAAGCAGACTGAATGAACATTAGGATGCAAACAGCATCATCATTTACACAGATGCAATAAACAGCAGATGAAAGTCGGCCACTTACCTGCAGGTAAAGATATTGGAGATTATTTAGATGTGCAAAGATCCCTGGTGGCAGGCTGACTAGACCACAGTGGTACAGGTGCAGAGCATGTAGCCGACCCAAACCCAGGAAGGTGTCTGACGCGATGGCCTTTAGGTGCTTGTTGTCCCCCAGGTCAAGCTCCTCCAGCCGGTCAAAGCCGTGGAAGGTGGACGGTTGTATGTAGGAGATGTTGTTGGAGTACAGCCACAACATAGTGGTGGTGGGTGAGAAGTGGCCTCGAAGCAAGCGCTGGATCTTGTTGTTCTGCAAGAAGACACGCTCACTCTGAGCCGGGATGCCCTCGGGCACCGCATGGAAGTTGTGGGCCTGACAGGAAACGGTGCTAGGTGAAGTGTAGCAGATGCAGTCGCGGGGGCATGGCAGAGAGAGATCCAGGCCCCACAGCACCAACAGCAACTCCACACCGCCATAACCTGAGAGAGCGGGAATGAAAAGAGTGAGAAAGCATGTCTTAAATCACAGAAAAGCTTTTAAAAACTAAAACAAACATGAAAACACTTTAAAACATAAAATCATTTTGGCAGTGTTGTTATCAGAGTTTTGCACACATCTTTATTTTTGGTGTTCCCTGCAAGCGTCCTGCCAACACGCTGCGCCCACAGACACACACAGCAACCTATCATGCATGGTGTTATATCCTTTGGTTATCCTCTAAAGGTGACAGAAAATCGATGTTCCTCCTGCTTACCAGCGAACACGCAGCACACCTGTAATTTGTTCCCACAATGAGGGAAAACCAAGAAATGGGGAGGAGGCGAAGGGGGAGGGAGAAACGTCTGTGAGGGGGAATTCACCTCAAATGAATCCAGTTTGTTTATTTATTTGACTTTATTCAATTTCTGATTCCTGGCTCAGATCATCTCAGTGTTTGATGCGTCTCGGGGCTAGAAAGAAATAGAGAGAAAATAAAATAGTAGAAAAAAAAACATGGGAAGCTGAAAAGGCTAAGGGTGGAGACTCACTGATCCTGGGAGGCATTTCTGAACAGAACCAGAGAAAATCCAATATCACAAACTCTCATTGGTAATGTTTTTTAAGAATAAAGAGCAGAGAATTGCGTAATATCAGCAAACATCCTTGTGCATATGGGAAGACACGTGCCGGTGAAGTGGACAGATGTGACTGACAGATGTCAGGTTGTACCAAGGCAGCGATGTTCAGTTGTAAAATGTCACCAGAGGACACAGGAGTATTATCCGGTGTACGTGTGACCTGATGTGACTGCTAATGTAACACGCGTGAGTCTGTTTGGCCAGCATATCCGATTCCTTTCATAATAATAATAATAATAATAATAATGCATTGAACTTATATAGCGCTTTTCTAGACACCCAAAGACGCTTTTCACACACTCTCACATTCACACACTGCTAGTGATGGTAAGCTACTTGTAGCCACAGCCGCCCTGGGGCGGTCTGACAGAGGCAAGGCTGCCATTTGGCGCCGTCGGCCTCTCTGACCACCACTAACACAGGCAAGTTGGGTGAAGTGTCTTGCCCAAGGACACAACAGCAGGATACCCCTGCACGTTACATCTGACAAGCGTGACCTTTTTAAAGAAAGAGAAAAAAAATATACAATAATCCAGGAAACCATCAATGTCGCCAGTCTTTTTTAAACAAACACCAAATTCACATGGTGCCGAACTTTAATAATGTGACATCATGACACGGGTGGTTTTGCAACAACTATTTAATTTTTTCTAGATTTTTCTCAAGCCTTTATTTTTGTATTAAATTTAATTTATGTGATTGTTCATTGGCATGTCCATCCATCATCCATCATCCATCTTCCTCCGCTTATGCGGGGTCGGGTCACGGGGCAGCAGCCTAACCAGTGAGGCCCAGGGAATCCCAAGACGTTTCCTGGCCAGCTGAGAGACATAGTCCGTCCATCATGTCCTGGATCTGCTTGGAAAACCTCACCAGGAAGGCGTCCAAGAGGAACCCTAACCAGATGCCAGAGCCACCTCAACTGGCTCCTTTCGATGTGGAGGAGCAGCAGATCTTCTTCGAGCCCCTCCGGGATGACTGAGCTTCTCATCCAAGAGAGAGCCCAGCCACCCTGCGGATAAAACTCATTTCAGCCAGTTGTATCCGTGATCTCATTCTTTCGGTCACTACCCAAAGCTCGTGACCATAGATGAGGGAGGGAAAGTAGATCGACCCGTAAATCGAGAGCTTCGCCTTCTGGCTCAGCTCTCTCCACCACAGCAGATCAGTACAACGCCCGCATCACTGCAGACGCGGCAGCCAATCTTGTGCCCCATCTTTCCCTCACTCGTGAACAAGACCCCGAGATACTTAAACTCCTCCACTTGGGGCAGGACCTCATCCCTGACCCGGAGAAGGTGTTCTACCCTTTTTCTGAGTCAAGAACATGGTCTTGGATTTAGAGGAACTGATTCTCATCCCAGCTGTTTCACACTCGGCTGCGAACTGCTCCAGCGATAGCTGGAGATCACATTTTGATGAAGCCAACAGGACCACATCATTTATCAAAAGCAGAGACCTGATCCTTAGGCCACCAAAACCTTAACAATTGATATGTCAATTATTTGAAATAACTGACATGAGGTATGATGATTATGATCATTTAAAGAAATTATATTTTAACTTAAATCTGTGGTCCGTAGGGTGGTCATCAAAGAGGCTCCCCGTCTTCTTCTGGAAGGATCTGAAAGCCACATCTTGCACACTCACACACACACACACACACACACACACACACACACACACACACACACACACACACACACACACACACACACACACACACACACACACACACACACACACACACACACACACACACACACACACACACACACAAATAGCGTTGCAGCGCTATCAGAGGGCCGCTATGGCGTGTTTTGGGCATGTTTCTGAACATCTAAACATCTAAAACCAGGAATCCGGCACTCGTGCCTGTAGCACAGTCCTGCTAATGCTGCAACAGGCTAAAACAATAGTGCGATGTAGTGCATCGTGTTTCACACTGATCACGTGGCTCTAATGCACAAACAAATAAATCCCCTTTCGTTCCCCACCCTCCTCTTCCAAAGTTTGTTTGAAGTTTACAGACTGACAATGCAGGTTGAGTTAGCATTCAAGCTAGGTTAGTGTGCTAAGCTGACTGAGACATCTGCATCCCTGCAGTGCATGCTGGGAACTGGGGCTCATTTTTGTAGATTGACAGATCCTCTTGCGGATACACAACTCTATTGGTCAATGCTCTAGGCTCACCTAATGATTCGGCCTACTGTATACAGTCCCTCCCCTGCCCTCTGTAGAGGGCAGGGGAGGGACTTGGGGCACATATAAATTATAATAGATTATCTATTGTTCTACTGCCATAGGAACAGAGTCAGATAATCACATTTAAGCATTTTTATACGTACAATTTATTTAATTTAATATTTAAATGACAAATCTGCTAACAAGTTATGTCAAACAAACTCTTTTGATCAGGAAATACCTGCAAGGCTAATTAAAGTTAGCCGTGATATTCAGTTACAGATCAACATCCATTGAGGACGTTCCAGGAAATCTGTTCAGTGTTTTCTGAGATATTCAAATAACAGACACACAAGCTGTATTTAGCATCGTTGGCTCTGTTGCAAATGGCAGACATGATCTGGAACGCAGCCATGACATTTGTTTTACTACATAATAAATAAAACAAGCAAATGCTCCCGGAATTCATTTTAATTAGTCACATTCATGTATTTAAATATTGATAAAAAGGTTAAAGCAAATAAAATAATTTCACAAACACTCATTTTTCCTCTTTTATTCCCTGGTCTCCTTCTTTTCTCTTTTTCACATGGATTCTTCTAGAGCCTCTGAACCTGACTGGTCAATTCTCACTGCTCTAAGCTGTAACACACAGCAGGTATTCAGTCCTGTGGGGCACCATGATGATGTTATCTCTGTTCTTTCCATTTTCTCCCCTCTCCTCCTCTACATTATCAGATCATCTGTGTCGCCACGTTTGCTTTGTGATTCTCAGCGATCCGGCTCTTCCTCTGCAGCCTCATCTCCAGGCAGTGGCCCACCTGCTGTGCCTGTTAATTAGGTGTTTTAACGTGTGAACTGTATGTTTTTGTTTACAAATGTCTTCCAGTTTCATACTGAGAAACACTTGGAAGCACTTGACTGGACTGTAGTGTGTTTTATTGTCAATAACACTTATCTGGTTATTGTTAGCCTAAATTTTATGGTTAAGCCTCACATAGAAACTGGATACAGTACAATAATAAATGAACCAGCAAGCATTTTTTACTCAATTTGTCTCCTTGACACATGCTCATACTAGTGCTCCTGGCATTAGTTTGCATTTCCAATTGCTTTTGGTCCCTTGTTGCCTTTTGTTTACCCCTGCAGTCTTTCATTTTTTACTCTCATCACTCAGCTTTCCATAAAAACCATCCTCTCTCCGTCTGTTCTTCCAAATCATGTCTGCCACCTTTCTGCCATTTTTTGATCACACTCTCCGCTGTTTGAGTGCTTGCCATTTGAAGGTAATGTGCTCATTGAAAAAGCATTTCTGTAATACTTTACAACAAGGGTCCCTTTATTAACTTTACTTAGGGCATTATTAAGCTTTAATAAACAAAAAGTCCCTTTATTAACATTACTGTTATTGTTAACTATTAAGTGTCCTTAAGGTTAGGACAAAAGGACGGGGAGGGTTTCTGCTTAGTAATGCATTACTTAATATGGTTAAAAAGCTGTTAATACTTTATTTAATAGTTTATTAATGGTTAATAATGCACTTGGTAACATTAATAAAGGGACCCTTGTTGTAAAGTATTACCAGCATTTCTTTTAAAGGGACACTAGACAGTTTTGCTTGCTTTTAGAACCTCCTAGTGTCTGTGGTCAAAGCAAAAGTGGGGGGGCTGCTGCTGCTACTGCTGTTGTTGTTAGGATCGCTGGCTGTAATGCACATAACACACAAACTTGCAATATATGGATGGACAACACCTGTCCCCCTTCAGCTCGGCTGTGACTGCACTAACCTGTCCTGTGTGACCCTCACCATGTAACCCTCATGTCCATGCTGTCTTTGGAGAAGCAGATAGGAGACAAGATCTCCTGTAACTTAAAATGAACCAAAGTTTCCTCCCAGTTTCTCTTTAAGCTGAATTTAACATCAGTTTATCATCTTGAAACAAAAGAATACAGTGGAACAAAAACTTCTATCTTCTATTTCTCTCTCCTTTTAACTTCTCCGTGTCCCCAAATAAGAGACACATGATTACGCTGCAGCCGCCTTCACTGACCCCGCTCCCACCCCAAGACCGGATCTCCCGACACCACAGCACTCGGTCTGACTGAGCGCTTCCAGGAGAAACAATAATGAAATGAAATTATACCTTTCTCAGTGGTCTAGTGGTAGAGTGTCCGCC